GTAGTGTACATAGAACGTGTACATAGAACGTGTAGTGTACATAGAACGTGTACATAGAACGTGTAGTGTACATAGAACCTGTACATAGAACGTGTACATAGAACGTGTTGTGTACATAGAACCTGTACATAGAACGTGTAGTGTACATAGAACGTGTACATAGAACGTGGACATAGATCGTGTACATAGAACGTGTACATAGAACGTGTACATAGAACGTGTAGTGTACATAGAACGTGTACATAGAACGTGTACATAGAACTAGTACATAGAACTAGTACATAGAATGTGTAGTGTACATAGAACGTGTACATAGAACGTGTAGTGTACATAGAACCTGTACATAGAACGTGTACATAGAACGTGTTGTGTACATAGAACCTGTACATAGAACGTGTAGTGTACATAGAACGTGTACATAGAACGTGGACATAGATCGTGTACATAGAACGTGTACAAAGAATGTGTACATAGAACGTGTACATAAAACGTGTAGTGTACATAGAACGTGTACATAGAACGTGTACATAGAACTAGTACATAGAACTAGTACATAGAATGTGTAGTGTACATAGAACGTGTACATAGAACGTGTAGTGTACATAGAACCTGTACATAGAACGTGTACATAGAACGTGTTGTGTACATAGAACCTGTACATAGAACGTGTAGTGTACATAGAACGTGTACATAGAACGTGGACATAGATCGTGTACATAGAACGTGTACATAGAACGTGTACATAGAACGTGTAGTGTACATAGATCGTGTACATAGATCGTGTACATAGAACGTGTACATAGAACGTGTAATGTACATAGAACGTGTACATAGAACGTGTACATAGAACGTGTAGTGTACATAGAACGTGTACATAGAACGTGTACATAGAACTAGTACATAGAACTAGTACATAGAATGTGTAGTGTACATAGAACGTGTACATAGAACGTGTAGTGTACATAGAACGTGTAGTGTACATAGAACGTGTACATAGAACGTGTAGTGTACATAGAACCTGTACATAGAACGTGTACATAGAACGTGTTGTGTACATAGAACCTGTACATAGAACGTGTAGTGTACATAGAACGTGTACATAGAACGTGGACATAGAACGTGTAGTGTACATAGAACGTGTACATAGATCGTGTAAATAGAACGTGTACATAGATCGTGTACATAGAACGTGTAGTGTACATAGAACGTGTAGTGTACATAAAACGTGTACATAGAACGTGTACATAGAACGTGTAGTGTACATAGAACGTGTAGTGTACATAGAACGTGTACATAGAACGTGGACATAGAACGTGTAGTGTACATAGAACGTGTACATAGATCGTGTAAATAGAACGTGTACATAGATCGTGTACATAGAACGTGTAGTGTACATAGAACGTGTAGTGTACATAAAACGTGTACATAGAACGTGTACATAGAACGTGTAGTGTACATAGAACGTGTAGTGTACATAGAACGCGTACATAGAACGTGTACATAGAACGTGTAGTGTACATAGAACGTGTACATAGAACGTGTACATAGAACGTGTAGTGTACATAGAACGTGTAGTGTACATAGAACGTGTACATAGAACGTGTAGTGTACATAGAACGTGTACATAGAACGTGTACATAGATCGTGTACATAGAACGTGTAGTGTACATAGAACGTGTAGTGTACATAAAACGTGTACATAGAAGGTGTACATAGAACGTGTACATAGATCGTGTACATAGAACGTGTACATAGAACGTGTACATAGAACGTGGACATAGAACGTGTAGTGTACATAGAACGTGTACATAGATCGTGTACATAGAACGTGTACATAGAACGTGTTGTGTACATAGAACGTGTACATAGAACGTGTACATAGAACGTGTAGTGTACATAGAACGTGTAGTGTACATAGAACGTGTACATAGAACGTGTACATAGATCGTGTACATAGAACGTGTAGTGTACATAGAACGTGTATATAGAACGTGTAGTGTACATAAAACGTGTAGTGTACATAGAACGTGTACATAGAACGTGTAGTGTACATAGAACGTGTAGTGTACATAAAACGTGTACATAGAAGGTGTACATAGAACGTGTACATAGATCGTGTACATAGAACGTGTACATAGAACGTGTACATAGAACGTGGACATAGAACGTGTAGTGTACATAGAACGTGTACATAGATCGTGTACACAGAACGTGTACATAGAACGTGTACATAGAACGTGTACATAGAACGTGTACATAGAACGTGCATCTCTTGTCCCGCGACACGATGTAATACTAATAACAATAATAATAATAATAATAATAATAATAATAATAATAACAACAATAATAATAATAATAATAACAATAATAACAATAATAATAATAATAATAATAATAATAATAATAATAATAATAAATGACATCTATATAGCGATCAACCCCGATAGTTCTGTATGACTCAAAGTATCACTTCTATGCTGATGATGCCCAAATGTGTGGTTCAACATTGTTGACCAACTTAGATGAACTTGTCCATCGTGCTGACAATTGTATTGCCTTAGTGAAAAACTGGATGAACAAAAACAAATTGATGTTGAATGATGATAAACCAGAAGTCATTCTGGCAGGCAGTGCAAAGTCTGTTAAAGAGGTTGACCACGATCACATTAAAATTGGTGATGCTAAAAAAATTGCATTTTCAAAGGAAAGTTAAGAATCGTGGCATCTACTTTGATTCCAGTTTGTCAATGTCGGCTGAGGTAAATCATTTGATCAGCTGCATGTGTGTAGAAATAAGAAAAATTAGTAAAATACGTCATCTGATCAGTACTAAGTATACTGCTTTACTAGTAACTAGCTTAGTTTTATCAAAACTCGATTATTGTAACTCGTTGTTATCAGGAATATCACTGGAGAAAGTGAAAAGACTTCAAACTGTCCAAAACAATGCAGCACGTTTAGTTTTTCGGAAAAGCGAGTCTCTGCTAAACCTCTTTTACGAACACTGCACTGGCTTCCTGTTGAGAAAAGAATTGTGTACAAGTTGGCCACCATATGTCACAATTGTTTGAATGATAATGCACCATCATATTTATCAAATCTGTTAAGACTGTACATTCCAACTCGCAGTTTAAAGTCATCAGCTGACCAAAAAAAAAAATATTTTACCATCTATGAAACTTAAAACAATGGGTGAAAGGGCATTTGAATACCAAGGCCCCAAGATCTGGAATGCTTTACCAAGTACTTTTAGAGAGATCAAATCTTTTGATTCTTTCTAATATAAGCCGAAGCTTATACAGCGACACTAGATCTATTCTATATATATATATATATATATATATATATATATATATATATATATATATATATAT